AGATAGATAGATAGATAGATAGATAGATAGATAGATAGATAGATAGATAGATAGATAGATAGATAGATAGATAGATACCATGGACTGCCTTTATTGGTCCATTGTTTCATTTCAATAAACACTCATAAATAAATTAGATACGTACTTACATACACAACCCCCCTAAAGCTCCAAAAACAATGAATAAACAAATAAATAAATAAAAATAAATAAATAAGAACCCCCCCTCCCCTCAAAAACTCAGAATAAGCACATCATCATCTACTTGACATAAAACACCTCCAACTCCCCAAATAGAAATAAACTCATTCAAGTCTGACAACATCCTATAATAGGCAAATTCAGTCCTGAGACGTGCAGCCAACAAACCTCTGAACATCAGCTCAGCATCTGCAGAACCTGCCCCCTTCATTTTATTTCTCCTGCTCAACCAAATGCTCATCTTTGCCTGCCCAAACAAAAAATTAACCAGACAGATCTTTCCCCGTTGTGCTGCCGAGTATCTGGGCCCAAAATAAACAATTCATCATTAAAACTAAGTCCTATTGCTCCCACCCACTGCTTTAAAAGAGAAAATAGAGGACCTATTCTGGGACATCCTAACCACAGGTGGTCTAACATCTCCTCAGCCTTACAGAACGCGCACTGACTGCCTGACCTGTGATCAGTACGTGCCTTGTGTCTGTTTGTAGCCACGACCCTGTGCACCACCCTCGACTGGAGATCTGCACTGCGTTTCTCTAAGGAGGCTTTGTACAGGGACCTCCAGCTGCCCCTGGGAGACGAACCTGTCGCCAACAAACCCCACCACCTCGACTCTCTGACCCTGGCCAGCATCGATCTGTTCAGGACTTTTACTGACACAGCATACAGCCTCCTCTTTAGTGCTTCAGAGAAGTTCCACAGTTCTGGTGTTTTAAAAGACAGCAGGAGCCCTTCTGCTTCCTCCTGCTCCTCCACTGCAGCACCAACAGACAGCTCTGGGAACCCCTCCAGATGCTCCTCTGCCTCTAGTGCCCTCCTGAGGGAACCAGGAAGTCCACTGATCACTTCCTGCACCAGTCTGTCCATGAGGCGAAGAGACTTAGTCCCTGTTTCCTCACAAAGTCTCCCAGCACTCTTCCACTGACCGTCTGCCCTCAGTCCTGCCAGCTTCGTCAGCCCCGCTGCTGTGAATACCCTCTGGACACTCTCAGAAGCAGGAATTTTGCGCCTTATGGTCGGGTTATTGAATAGATGTTCATTGCCTAACGTTCCACACACCTTAGAGCAGTCCCTCTTACTTTTTAAAACTGTTCACCAGTCATTCAACACTGACTAATAAAAACTGGAAGTTTGTGTAATGTCCATACCATCCAGGTCTAATAGAAACAGGTGCCTGTCGCACACCAGGTTCTCCACTCTTTGCAGCAGCAGGGATGCTGTTTGAGTCCAGGGCTGCTGTGTTCTGTACAAATATCTCTGTGCTGTCTGGAGCCGAAGCGCAGTTATGCGGCTCCTGAGGTCAATCAGCCCTTGACCCCCTTCCGCCACAGGTAAAAACAGCACAGCTGATCTAATCCAGTGGTATCCATCCCATAAAAAGTCCACCAGTTTCTTCTGTATCTGTTTTAGCATTTTGTCCGGAGAAACTAGAACGGTGGCCCGATGCCAGAGCATGGATGTAGCTAGACTGTTGGCAACCAAAGTCCTCCCCCTGTAAGACAACTGTAATTTTGACAATCGGGCACCTATATTTTCACCTATACCCTCCCAGTTTTTCCCCTGAAATTCCTCATTCCCCAGAAATACCCCTGGCACCATCATCCCCTCTGTGCTCCACTGCAGCCCGGCCGGTAAGGTCGGCCTCTCTTTATTACTCCACTCTCCCAGTAAAAGACCCTCACACTTCGACCAGTTAACCTTGGCTGAAGAAGCTTGCTCGTATAATTTAAGTTTTTGTTCCAGAGTTCTAACATAATTTTGACAACCTATAAAAACTGTGATGTCGTCAGCATATGCTAACTGAAAGTTACCATTTTCTGCCAAATTTAAACCGGGTAGATTTTTCCTGAGTTGATGCAATAGAGGCTCAATAGCCAAAGTATCCGAGAAAGAAGACACCCCTGCCTGATTCCTCTCTGGACACAAACTGGTCAGCTAAGTCCCCCTCCTACCTTCAATAATACAACAACTCAATCCATGAAATAAAAATGTTACCAAATCCAAATGCTTTCATTGTTTTAAACAAATACTGATGATCTACTCGATCAAATGCCTTTTCTTGGTGAAGAGATATCAAACCTAGATCTATTTCCTGAAATTTTGACAAGTCTATGATATCTCTGATTAAAAGCAGATTGTCCATTATTGTCCTGTCAGGGACACAGTATGTCACAGTAAAAATCAAAATGCTTAATTTTTCAGATAGAGAGGCAGATATAATGTTCAAAATGATAATTTTCTAGGTGTAGAAATAAATAAAAAAATGTAATCAATCTTGAAGTGGTTTGCAGTGTGTTTGTATTCATTGCAACATGCGCTCTCACCTGAGAGACAGAAATCGAGGATTTTTTAACACATTGTTGAAACACTGCGCTCATTCTTCGGTTCTGTTGCTCTAAGTCAAACAAACGGGTCCGCAGCTTAAGACACTCTTCTTTCAGATTCTAGAAAAAAACAAGAGAAAATAAACAGTGTGTATAAGATGCTAATTCAAAAGCCACAAAAATCAAATACTTCAACTTCATAGATTTTTTAATATACTTTTAAGCTTAATCTTGGCACCCTCATCTTTTACAAATTAACATGAGGATTATCAAATCCGGACTGTGAAATGCGTAATTTATTACTTCATTTTTTAGGTATTCTGAAAACTTTTTTTCATTGAGATACATTTATTGTTTTCTCTGTATAATGACAGTGGTCAGTGAAAATAAGTTCCTCTCTACCTTTCTACCACTGCCAGCAAATAATAGACTCAACATTTGTATTGCATGTCAGAAAACATCATAATCTTTGTCCTTTCAAAGACCTCTATGGAAAACATTAAAAATTCATCTTTGAGCATTTTTCAGCCAATCATTGTAATACTTCAAATATCTGTTGCAGATTTTGATAGCTGACTGGATTAATGTTGCCTCACTGCTGCAAGAACAAAAAACTAACCTTTTGTGTGAGAAGGGCCTTGACCACCTGGTTGGCAACCTACAAGGAAAATACTAATTCAAATAAGAACTCAACTCAAATAAGAACTTTCTGTCGCACTTCAAGATTTATCTTGAAGTGCGACAGAAAGTTCAGACAAACTGAAAATGAACAAGGGCAGACATTGTCAATCAGAATTATTCACTCTGTACGATACTGTAAGTACAAATTGACAGCATGTTGCATCATAATGCTGAACTTGAGTGAAATGGTTCAGCTGTTGCCTGCAGTACCTGCAGTTTGAACTTTATTCATTTTTTTAATCCTGCATCATGTATTTTTATGCCATGTCATGAATGTGATATGTATGATATGAGATTTGATACAGAAAAAAGGGTAAGGTTTAACAGATGGTTTTCAAATAAGCACCGTGTAATATATTTCCTTTTAATTTTCTTTCTTACTTATGTAACTCTTGAAGGGGATGCATTACATTATAGCCAGAGGCTGTAAAAATCACCACATTTCCATTTATTTGTGCTCAAAATTATTAGCTTCCACTCATTTCATCTCTCCATTAAAACATCTTGCCTCACAACATTCAGACCTTGGCAAGGAATGATATCCATTCTTACTATGCAAAAGGGTAATGTGCATAATGGAACTGTGAAGAGGAAGATTAATTATTTCTCTGGCATAAGGTGAAATTTCTGTCCTCAGCCAGAATTTGTTCAATTCTCATAGGCAGCACTCTCCATGGTAATAAGCCCATTAGTGAAGGCAGTTAAGAAAATAAAGTGACAGACTCTTGCCAGCAGAAAAGCGATGGAAATATATTCAAAGGGTTGTCAGGGAAAACTAAGGAGGAAATGATGCAGTTAGACAGCTCATATTTAATGGCTGAGAATGTGTGCTGCTGATCGACCCCTCATATTTTTTGTACTCAGATAATATTTTTTATAATGATGTCCGTTCTCTTCTCTGGGTCTCCCTCCACAGACTTAAACAATACCTTTAGATAACAATATGACAGTACTTGATTCCTTCAAGTACTGTTGACATCAGTGATTTGACAGCATTTTTGTCCAACACCCTCAGGGTGCTGTGGCTGTTCTGTTCTGTTTTTGGGGGGTTTCACTTTTCATTCTTCTAGTTTCCTGGGGAGCTGTGGCCATTGGTGCATACCTGCAGTCTTTTCCAGGTGCTATGCTGTTAGGTCCACCTTCCCCGGGCCAAATAATTCTGAGCATTCGGTCTGAGCATGTGGCCTTTCAGAGTATTCCCATGTGCTGCTCTATGCTGTTGTAGACAACTTCTTTCCCTGTGTTCTGATTTGTTAGACCACCATTCTCTTCTTAGAGTGTGTTCTCCAGTGGGGTGCCTATGTTGTTACTTTTACCCTGTGTTTCCACAGTGATCTTTAGTAAATTTTTACCCTACTTTGGAGCAGTGATTTCTTTTTGTTTTTTCACCAACAAAGGAAAATTATAGTATTTTTATATCGAGAGATTGTTTTTTTTCTGGGAAAGTGTCTGCGTGTGGATCCTCACCCACGGGATCCTAACAGTAACACTGTGATTTCAAACTGGAAAAGACTTGCATTATTCCCTACTTCCATAATATCAGCTTCTAAATTCTAAGTGATTTTTTTAAATTTCCAAATATAATAATAATTTGAAAGTCTATTCACTTGTGCCAAAGCCAACAGTCAAACATTACATAATCATTAACATTCTTGTGAAGAATAACAAGCCTCAAGCTCTGTCTGTGGATTTCAAAAAGTTGAAATTATCGCTGTTCACCCATTCGTTCCCTATACCCACGAACTCCAAGTCAGGTTTGTGGGGAAATCAATCAGTTTAAGTAAGGGCGGTATAAATAATGCTAAATCTAAAAGCAAAACAAACAAAAAAAGTTACTTTTCACTATATCAAATCATTAGTAGGCAAGATATCCCCAGTTAAAGTGATCTAACTACAAAATGTATTACCACTTGAGATGTTCCATCCAAAAACCTTAAGTCATCTTTGACTCGCATTAAGTTTAACATGGAGCTTCTTTTTTAGCACAGTTACAAGTGGTATTTGGTCTGCGGTTTTAACTGCAGGTGGAACTGCTTGATGAAGAGTTCCTTCCTATAATGATACTTTGTCCATCCAGTTGTATTTGCAACTGGGGAATTACCACTTCATACGCAGTGCCGTCTAAAACTTCTGAAATCAAGGTTGTATAGGCTGGCTACCTTTCCGCTAAAGTGGTGAAAGTCCTATAGGTTGCTTGAGAGATTTAATGAATGCTATGATTTAAATTGGAATAAATATACAAAGACTGCAAGTCTCTTACTGAGTCTTTTCTAATAATATGTCTATGTGGTTTTCCTTTCAGCATTTTGTTTAAGCTTTCATTTCTTTGAATGTACTCACCTCGTCCAAACAGCGTTCATACTGTTTTCTTTGGTTGTCATTTTCTATTGACAGAGCACAGTTTGCCACCTGCAGAGACAAATTACAGACAGGTGACTTAAACTTACACTAATAAAATCAATTTGGATATTTCTGTGTTAGAGCAACGTCTTTCTTAATACACAGTAAAATCATTGTTATGAAAGAATGATCATTTAGATACCAGGAATCTAAAGTCCATACTTTACTGTACACACTTCCTGCAAGACTTTTTTGAAGTACAATTTAATTACAGGTCAAAGTTATTTTTAACAAGGAAAATAAACTATTTGGTGAAACTCGGGGCTGACTTTCCTGAAATATTGTTAATCCATCACTACTTAAAGGGTCAACCAACTCAACTGCTTCAGAAAAAGGAATAACCATAGAAGTAAGCAGTTTCACAGCTAAATTCCCATTCAACAGCTACACAATCTAAATCTGCAAACGAGGATAAGTGTAAAAACTCACCATATTAATTTGATATTTTTTGGAAAGATCAGAAATGTTTTTAGGTTAAGTTTAATATGTAAAGTGAATTTACATCACTATAATTATTTTTTATTTGATCATTTTTCTTCCATTATTACAAATAAGCGTGACAATTAGAGAGTGAGAGCTGTAATGGAGAGCAGTCTATACGCATTTATTTCACTGTCTCAGTCAACTCATCAATGTATCTTTTCACTTGGTAGTGCAAAAAAATCACTTTTCCCTAACCCTTTGTTCCTTAGCTTGTCTTCGTTAAATTCCTTGGTGGGATCAAGCTACTAGTTTCAAAATAAATTAGCAAAATATCCACTGCTGTTTGTAACACTGCGTGTTAATCTGTGTAGATATGAAATCTGAAAAATAAAAATAAAAATTTTTTTTAGACTATATTGTAAAGAAATATCTTTTTATTTTAAACATTACATGATCATCATTGTTTATTGTTACTGATGATCATCTTTTCTAACACACAAGTTACACTGACTATAGAAGTTAGGAGACCGCCTTACTGCCACAGAAAATTAATGATAATTAATGGTATCAGTCGTTATAAATCTAGCATACATCTGTGCTAGTAATTAGCTGGACAAATTTTGGAAGCAGAATACAACATTGGGCATTTGATATTGATATAAAGTCTGCTGTAGAAGAGCTCTTATTAAAATTGAAAATGTCCTCATATACTTGCTGTTGCCTACTTTGATTAGAATATTGTGTATTTCATTTTTTTATTTATCTATTCTCTTGGCCTATTTCTCCATTTGAAGTCCTATATCTTAGCCAGGCACGAGATATAGGATGGTTCTAAGAGAAAGCTAACAAGCTTGACTTCTTTGTCTTTAGTGTATGATGAATGTGAGTGTTTAAAGTACCATAGAAGAGTTTGAATATAGTCCATAACGTCTGGTTCTTATAGTTATCAGTCATTTTCTTCTATTTAATGTTTATTCAGTGAATGCAGGTGTCTACCAAGACTGTTAACTGAAACCCAATCCTGATTAGGGTGTATTTACATTGTCATTACAGATCATCCAACCATCCATCCATTGTCAACCGCTTATTCAGGGTCGGGGGCAGCAGCCGATGCAGGGAAACCCAGACTTCCCTCTCCCCTGCCAATTCTGCCAGCTCCTCCAGGTGGATCCCGAGGTGTTTCGAGGCCAGCCGAGACACATAGTCCCTCCCTTCCTCTGGGCGTCCTCCTGGAACACCTCACCAGGGAGGCGACCAGGAGGCATCCTGATCAGATGCCCGAGCCACCTCAACTGGCTCCTCTCGACGTGGAGGAGCAGCGGCTCCACTCTGAATCCCTCCCAGATGGCTGAGCTTTTCACCCTATCTGTAAGTGAGAGCCCAGCCACCCTGTGGAGGAAACTCATTTTGGCCGATTGTATCCGCGATCTCGTTCTTTCCGTCACTTACCCAAAGTTCATGACCATAGATGAGGGTGGGAACGTAGATTGACTGATAAATCGAAGGCTTCGCCTTTAAGCTCAGCTCTCTCTTCATCACGACGGACTGGTACTGCGCCCGCGTTACTGCCGGTGCCGCACCGTTCCGCCTGTCGATCTCACGCTCCCTACCCCCTATTCGCGAACAACACCCCAGGTATTTGAACTCCTCCTCTTGGGGAAGGACGTCCCCCGTGACCCCGGTGAGAAACCATGGTCTCGGACTTGGAGGCACTGATCCTCATCCCAGCCGCTTCCCACTCGGCTGCGAACCGCTCCAGCGAGAGCTGTAGGTCACGACTTGATGAAGCCAACAGGACCACATCATCTGCAAAAAGCAGAGACGTGATCCTAAGGCCACCAAGGCAGACACCTACAACACCTTGGCTGCGGCTAGAAATTCTGTCCACAAAAGCTATGAACAGAACCGGAGACATAGGGCAACCTTAGCGGAGTCCAACTCTCACCGGAAACATATCCGAATTACTTCTGAAAATGCAAACCGAGCTCTGTATCTGGTTGTACAGGGACCGAACAGCCCGTAACAAAGGGCCCAGTACCCCATACTCCCAGAGCACCCCCCACAGGATACCGCGAGCGACAAGGTTGAACTCCTTCTCCAAGTCCACAAAACACATGTGGACTGGTTGAGGGACTCCCATGCACCCTCCAGGACCCCGCTGAGGGTATAGGGCTGGTCCAGCGTTCCACGGCCAGGACGAAAACCAGACTGTTCCTCCTGAATCAGAGGTTCAATTATCCGACGGATCCTCCTCTCTAGAACCGCCGTATAGATCTTCCTAGGGAGGCTTAAGAGCATGAATCCCCTGAGGTTGGAACACACCCTTCGGTCCCCCTTTCTAAATAGGGGAACCACCACCCAAGTCGCCAATCCAGCAGAACTGCCCGTGATGTCCAGGCGATGCTGCAGAGTCGCATTAGCCAACGCAGCCCCACAAGATCCAGAGCCTTGAGGAACTCCTGGCCGAATCTCATCCACCCTCAGAGCCTTGGTGCCTTGGTGACTTCAGAACTGGAGATTAGAGAGGCCGACCCCAGGCCCCAGGCTCTGCCCCTCTGCACCAGTGGGATTGAGGAGGTCTTCAAAGTACTCCGCCAACCGACCAACAACGTCATGAGTTGAGGTCAACAGCCAGACCCCCCCCCAAAGACACCGGATGGTGGACCAGAGTCGCCTCGAAGCCATACGGAAGTCTTTTTCCATGGCCTCCCCAAACTCCTCCCCCGCCTGAGTTTTTGCCTCAGGCCAAAAAGGCCTGGCAGGATTCCTTCTTCAGCCTGATGGCATCCCACAGCGCTGGTGTTTGCTAGTGGGTTCGAAGGTTACCACCACGACAGACATAGACAACCCTGCAACCGCAGCTCCGGTAAGCCGCGTCAACAATGGAGGCGCGGAACATGGCCCACTCGGACTAAATGTCCCCCGCCTCCCCCGGAACGGGCTCAAAGCTCTACCGGAGGTGGGAGTTAAAGCTCCACCTAACAGGGGACGGAGTGCCAGGTGCTCCCAGCAGACCCTCTGAATGCGTTTGGGCCTGCCTGGTCTCACTGGCATCCACCCCCACAATCGGAGCTAACTCACACCAGGTAGTGGTCAGTGGAAAGCTCCACTCCCTCTTCATTCTAGTGTCCAAGACATGCGGCCACAGATCAGCTGAAACGACAACAAAGTCGATCACTGAACTGCAGCCTAGGGTGTCATGGTGCCAAGAGCACATATGAACACCCTTATGCCGGAGGATGGTGTTAGTTATGGATAATCCGTGCCAAGCACAGATGTCAAACAATAAAACACCACTCGGGCTCAAGCTGGGGGGGCCATTCCTCCCAACCACGCCCCTCCAGGTCTCACTGTCATTGCCCACGTGAGCGTTGAAGTCCCCCAGTAGAACAAGGGAATTCCCAGTGGGGGCACCGTCCTGCACCCCCTCCAAGGACTCCAAGAAGGGTGGGTAATCTGCATTGCTGTTTGGCGCATAAGCACCAGTCAGCACCCGTCCCCCCACCTGAAAGCAAAGGGAGGGTACCCTCTCGCTCACTGGGGTAAAACCCAACATACAGGCACCAAGATGGGGGGCAACGAGTATGCCCACTCCTGCTCGGCGCCTCTCACCTGAGGCAACTCCAGAGTAGAAGAGTGTCCAGCCCCTCTGAAGAAGGCTGGTTCCATAGCCAGAGCTGTGCGTCGACGCGGGACCGATTATGTCTACCTCGCACACCAACTCAGGCTCCTTCCCCATCAGAGAGGTGAAATTCCACATCCCTAGAGTCAGCTTCTGCAGCCGGAGATCGGTTCGCCAAGGTCCCTGACTCCGGCCGCCACCCGTTCCACAATGCACCCAACCCCTTTGTCCCTCCTATTGGTGGTGAATCCCTCACCAAGAACCTGTTTGCTTTGGGTGAACCTACCAGGGGCTTGAAGCCCAGGACAAAATAGCTTCTAGGATCATTGGGACGCTCAAACCCCTCCACCACTATAAGGTGGCAGCCCAAGGAGGGGCATTACAGATCATATTCTATACATATTTATAAACTATGATTCCAGATAATATTTTATAAGATATGATCTGCAGTATGATCTTTTAAAAAATCAAAAGCCCAATGTCAACAAATACAACTATCAAATAAAGCAATAACTTCAGTTTGTTTCTGAGGACATGCCTCATAACATTTAAAAGGTACCATTGTAAATGGCCACCTCTCATTTTTATTGTATTAAAGGGGTATACTGAATATTCTCTCGAATACCAGCTCTAAATGTTAACTTAGAGCTTCTCATGATCACTTTCTGGACTTGAATACCTCTTTGATATCTGCACTCTTCAATGTTTAGAGCCAAACTTATACCTAATAGGGTCCTATTTTCTGTGACACTCAAAAGTTGAAGGAGGCATGACACATTAATTCCACATATAGAATAGAATTGCATACTTTATTGATCCCATATAGGGGAAATGTACAAGTTACACCAGAAAAAAGGGAACCCGCATATAGTACACTCTTTTTTGTGAAACGGACTAAGGTGTATGGGTCTATGCTATGTACAATGAAAGACATTATGAAGAAATAGGGAAACATTTTAGGCAATAATTAGAAATGGATCATACAATCTACAGTACCTCCAATGCTCTGAGGCGCTCAAGCAGGATGTTGTTATCCTTAGAATTTTCCTCTGATCTGGCACCAGCTTCAGGGGAAGCAGGCATCTCAACTGCTGGGGCTGTGGGATCCTCCGGCCTGTCTTGCTGCTTCCACATTTCCTCCAGGATTTTATCCTGAAAAGCAAAGAAAAGATGCATGCCTTAATGTAACAAATAAATACAAACTAGATTATTCATGTTCTTTTGGTCTCCACCCATGACAGTAAACACTGATAAAATATTGTGAGCTTCCACCAAAGCATAAATAAAGCAAAGAAGTAACAATTAGAAGCCAAGCTGATTATTTTCCCGACGTTGGGTACAGATTTAGCATATACAGCCATGAAAAAACAAAGTCTCTCACATCATGACGGAGTCTTAACACATTCACAAAAGTCCTATGTTGCAACCCATGCAACATTTCTTTGAAGCCAATTTCAGGGTCGTAATGCATATTACATTAAAAAAATATTTCAAATTGAAAATGTATAAACTGAAAGTCTCATTTTGAACTTGCAATTTTAATTTGAGCTCATGTGAAGACAGCTGAGGGCAATTTTTTAAAGTGTATTTTTATTTCAGATTTTTACTTTTGAACAAGTTTTCAAATCTAACAAGAAATCTGTGTGTTGAGCGATTTTCGGATTCAGAAGCTTTGTTTTGAGTTCTTAGTAGCCTTTTCAGTTTTTTCTTTCCACCTTCACCTTCTTGTTTGTTTTGTTAGTTTCTTGCATTTTTGCATTCCTGTTGTGGCCGTTCTGGTGGGCGGGACAAGCAGTGGAACAATGAGTGACATCTTCCTGAATAAATCTGCCTGCCACTGTTTTTATGAGATACAGGAAGAGCAACAACCCATTGGTCGCCTCCTAAACCGTGCTAAATCAGGCCAGATGCCCAAGGGGTCTCTGATGGGTTCGCAGGATTTCCGTAAGGAGTGTGGTGGTGTATGGTAGGGCCTGGTGGGTTGGCTGTGTGAGCATCTCTCCATATTGGGGTAGTTTTGGGCTGGTCAAGGGCCAATGGGGCCAGGCCCACGCCCCTAGCTTAGTTACATGTTTTTTTTCTGCCCGCTCCTTTCCCCATTAATTTCTTTGTTAGGCTTTCTGGGGTGCGCTGTGGCTCTCTGGGCACTTTGTGTTCTTGCTGCTGGTGTTATTGCTGTCTTGTTGTGTTTTGTTTTCTGTTAGTCCCCTCTAACTCTTGGTCAGGGACAGAAGGCTGGGTCGATTTACCATGAGGCAGGCGAGCAGGGGAATGAGGGACAGGCAAAGACGGTACCAAAAAGACCGGCAGGTAAACCCTGGAAAGTCTTGCATGGCAAAGAACAGTGTGGCAAGGATTGAGTGTGGAGCTGGTGATTATATACACTGGACTGATTGCATGAGATGAGAGGCAGCTGTGTGCACAGGTGAGTAGAGTGACTGACGAGGTGGGTGTGGCTGACAGGCTGAGGGACGCAAGACAGGATCAGAGGAACTACAGCACTGAGGGCTTGAAGACTGGACTGTGATACAACTGCTAGGAATTTCAGTAATATCCTCTTGCATTTCCTCTTGATAACGGGCTAGTAGCACAGAAGCTTCTTTCCTGGTGATTGAACTCAATTAGCAAACAAACCAAACAACTGAAAATGAATCTTTTTCTAAATGAAAAAGAAAAAAGTTCAAATAGGAAAAAAATCAATGCAATACATGTAATAAAAAATATGGACAGTGTAACAAGGCCCATGAATTTGAGTTGAAACATGAATCTTTTTTGGAACTGGGATCGAATTTAAACCTAAAGCTTTGATGTGCTCCATTTCTCAAATGTCTATAGGTTCAAGATTATGGAAAATAATTTTTCAGTTTCAGATTATTTAATAACTTCTCTCTAAAAAGTTAGCCTTTCTCTGTGTAAAATCCTGGATATGAAAGCCAAAATGTAAAACTCTATTGGCGATTTTTGATACCTTGTATGCTTTCATTAAATCCACTTGGTCCACTTTGCACCCTTCCAGTGAGTCCTGATTCTGTAGTAGTGATTGAACGGTCTCCTCCATGCTGTGTTTAGAGAGAAAACAGGCAAACTTGTTTGAGTATATATATTACATTAAACAAATGGGTAAAAAGAAGTAGCTTTTTTCATATTCAAAATTAATTTCAGGCACTTTCGGAATGACATCACCTTCTGATTGTGTTTAGAGTTCTGATTATAGGTCTTAAATGTGTGCACCGAACAAATTGCTTTTCATGTTACAATTCATGACAATGAACTCAGTGTAACAATAATAGCAGTTATCTTTGCAGTAATTTTCAATGTTCTTTTACACTACATGCCACGTTGATCCATTCACTCATGCAGTTATTTCACATTCTATTTCTGCTGTTTTAAGTCCCATGCCCAAGGACACTTAGATGTGGCCCAGGAATCGAATCAATGGCTTTCCAATTGGTAAATGACAGTTTTTCTTCCTGAGCTGACTATGTTACTGAAAATTCCATACTAAACATTATGTTATGATCAACCTAATGAAAATTGATTACATTTACAGTATGGACATGTGCTGTTTTAATATGTTTATCCATATTTGGAAAAATAATCATCTTTAGATAGTTTGGTTCAGATAGGGTTTTAACTGAACTCTTTTGCATCACAGTCAGCAGTGTATCAAAGACTTTTCAACCACGTACCATCTTCTAAACGTTTATGAAGATACCGTCATAGAACACAATACCATCTGCAAGCATTTTATCCATCCGTTCTTTATAACAAGCTTGTGGGGGAATGGATCATATCTTAGCTGTCATTGGAAAAAAGGTAATTTTATATTTCTTAAAAAGCTTTACTGTTAAAGGGTTATTCCTGTCATAATCCCATTTGCTTAACATGTTATACAGTGCTCTGGCATTTTATATCTGACTGTTCTCTGTTACATCTCTGACTGACATGTAGACCTCCTCAGCAACATAGCGCCAGAGGATGATGGTGGAAATCTGGTGGCCCGATCATAGGTATGCGTTAGCTTCAGATCAGGGGCAAACCCAGATGCCTTCTGTCTTAACAAAAAGCAAAATAAATACATCGAAAAAGTCTAATCTACAACCCTTATTCATTGAAAATTAACAAATCATCCTGTGAGCCATAAAAAAAGTACAATAAAGAATGTTAAATACTTGCTTTTAAATGAAATCAGTATTTCATTCGTTGTCACAACTTCCCTTACATTGAGACCTCACTCAGCACAAAGACACAGACCTTTAGTATTCCTAATTTACAGTCAGTCTTATAACTGTGTTTCTGATTGAACTATGGAATAAAATGCTCTATTTTCTTTAGGAAACAAAATTGTGAAAGAATGTGCTGCTTGTTAAAGTGCACCCACGCAATCGTTAAGGGCATAGGCACAAACAGTGTACTTTACCTAACTAAAAATCCTGTAAAGCAGTGCTAAAAAGGCAGCCAAGGTGGCATGTTCTGTTTTAAAGAAATGTTTTTTTTTCTCTAAATATCCAGTACTAATTAGGAGATCATGAAGTTCTGTGTTTTACTAAAATCGTGTTCTCCCTTTATTTTTTTTAAATACTGCTTTTGTGATACAATATAAGCCCAGAACATAATGTATGCATTGTTTGTGAGATGGAGATGTTACCTGGAGAAGTGCTGCTGCAGCGTCACCATCTGCTGTCCAGCCTGCTGAGACTTAAGGCTCTCCCTCTGCTCCACACTGACGTTTGTTTTCCTGTTGGGTATTAAAGTTTTAGATCCGACTTGTTTCTGTAGCTGTAGGGCAGGCAAGTAAACATAGTTAGTTTTTGGTTTCTTTTTGTCTTTTTTAATGTTGCAAAACATAATCCCATGGAACGTTTCGAGAATATAGTGCCTCATGTTAATCTGATCAAGGAAAAGTCTGAAAACTAGTTTACATTTTGTTTAAAAGATCAAGGCTACTATGTTGCCTCCACACCTCACAAACTGTAGTTTTAAATCATTTGCCAGGTCCTTGTTTGCCACACATCTGCTAGTTTGTGAGACAGATAAACTCATTACTGATTACATTTAAACCAAAACTTAAAAGAGAAAGCAGCTGTTGTAATATGTGTGTGTACTGTTTTCTAATGGTAATCATGGTAAATATGCTCCATTTCAAGTGTAGAATGTCTGAGGGAGATTTTTTTTTTCTATTACTCATTTGATGGCAGACAGTAGCTGGGACTTTAGCTCACTATAAACCATTCTGTAGTCTGTAACACAATCCTGCAGGACAGGAAATACATGGACCCATTTAGCATTGAATAGATTATGAAATATTTTGTTTTTTGCAATAGACGTTATTATTTAAACATGTGTTTTCTACATTTTTTGTATCTATCTTATTGATTAAATGCAAACATTTAAGCAAGAAATCTATAATAATTCATTCTTACATGGTAAAATCTTTTACATTATTGTGGAGCAATTTAGCAAGTCCAGTGTATTGTATTAATGTTTAAATTTTGGCAGATTTTGAAGTTTGTGCAATCCCATGCAGTGCTGCCATTTTGTTTTGAGAGAGAATAGGTCTAAAATTCAGCTCTAAATTATTTTTGTATCTTTTTGACCCATGTGCTGTCTCCTGAGATAATTGTATGTATTATATATATGTCATATATATTTTTAAAATGTTTTCAGTCATTTCAAAGTTGTATTTTGTTGTTAAAATGGTAGAATCAAAACTGTTTAAGAAGACTCAAAAGCAGCTATTAATAGGAAAAGAATAGTTGAATCCATCCCATTTTATTAAAAATTCTGTAGTTTTTTCTGTAGTTTCTGTAGTTCAAGATGACACCTGATACTTAGAGAGTAAAGTTTTTTTTGGAAACAATTAACAACTGAACATAACATTTATACCCACATATTTCCATGCCTTTGAAAAAGTGAGAGGAGAAAATTGATGGATTTCAAGGAACCTATAACAGTGAATCTGCAGTGCCCTCTTGTGGCAAAGAGCTGACTTCAACAAAAACTAGCAAATATATATTTGGTCAGTTACAATGCTATTGTCATTCTGTAACAACATAAATATCTATACAGTCCAAGTGATTTTGCTGTGTTAATGGTTTTCATAGATAAAGGTATTGGTGATTTGCTTCCAAGGTTTCAGAAGGGAAAATGTAGGTATTCGGATAATCCAGGTATTTTATCCCAGATTCAATATCCACATTAACAGTTCACGTTGATTTATTTAACAATCTTTAAAATATTTCTGGTTTATCAAGTCGATACTTTTCAATTGTAAACATGTGTGTATATTTAGAGAACATTGTAAACAATCACAACAGAACAAAAAATGTTCTGTGCATAGACTAACGAAACAATTTCAGCAATATATGCTCATTTAATCTTATGGCATATTATTATCATCCAGAAGACTTTTAAAAGAAAATATAACCAATCCATATTCATTCTAAATGGAAGAAAAATCTATATCATAGTAATTCAAATATGAATATATGACTATGCTTGAGTTTTTAAATCTTGTTTTCTACATGAAAGACATGACCAGTAGATGGAGTACTTCCTTCATTTTATTCAATAGTCATGACTCAGCTTGGATTGTGCCTCTGTTAATGATCTTAAGACATGGCATAATTGAAGTTCCCATGCAAAATAGAAGTTTGAAAGATACTACCCAAGGCTTGTCACTGGCTTATGTTTCAGAGATTCTGATGTGAAGAAACAAAAGTTAAATTTCTTTTAATCTCTTTTTTATAAAGAAAAGCCCCAGATTTAACATGAGTGATGTTTGACAACTTAAAGGCTTATTTTTCTACAACAGTAGATGATCCATTTAGAAAATATTCAAACGTAAATGTATGCATACTCTACATTTATAGATCAGCCCTTTTCTTTGTGTGCCTCATAAAAAGAAAAGGCTGTTCATCTGTTTCAATTCACATTCCATACATGCAGTACATTGTACACCAACAAAGAGACAGGCTGCTGTAAATGTATATATTATTGGCACATTGTACTACCAAGTCTGACAAATCTAGTATGCACTCTGTAGGATTTTCCAAGCCCTATTGGTTTTGTCTTTAACCACCTTATCAACTTTGTCTCATTGAAACTTGATGAGTGTATTGCTGGGAGCTATGAGTAAGCAGAGTATCATGTTGAGAGAACATAAGAGATCATCTTATTTAGAAAATATCCTATATTCTGGGTTCTAGCTTCTGGGTTAAGTTTCGCCTTTTAATTTGAAACATCACTACTGACAGCGTTGTTTCCTCTTTGACGGATGTTAGCCAATGTCATGTCAAGTACTCTGATTCTTTCTATTTTCTCAGTTTGCACCATATTTGATTAGACTGTTGAATTGGGGCATTGCATATGTGCCTCGTTTTAATGTTTGGCCTTTGAGTCAGATGATCATCAAATTCAACTGGTGACTACCTATAGCTGGAGTCAGTATGTCATGTCTTCGGTTGCAAATAAAGTATAGCCAACATTTATCAACATGCATGAAAACAACATTTAACTTTGACTAATCAGTGCTTCACAGTGTGTCTTGTTCTAGACTATGATACAAAAACATTTTGGTTCTGCTAGTTTTCTGGTTTGAATATACACATGGGCCTTTTTATGAAGGTTTTCCCTGCTCTCTCCAAAAAGGCTAGGTTCTGACAGCTGCCAAAAAACATGTATGTAAATGTTCATTGGTAATTCAGAATTTACCATTGGAGTTATTGTGAAGAGTTGTTTTTCCAGTGTGACAATGTGTCTGGGGTGAACCTTCGCTTTTGCGAATGCAACAATTCTGAAAATATTTGGATTCCCTCCAAATATTTTCAGAATTTAATTTTCATGTCTTCCTCCTCTCTACGCACAATACACTTCAGACAGTGAAAATAAATTTGATAGAAATAACATGCTAAACTGTCACACTAAGCAATTAGATGCAAAGCAATCTTGCTATAAAGAGGTCTGGTCTGAAACTTTGATCTGAATCAATGATAGTACACTACAAAATAAGTTAACACATAAGAGAACATAAGATTGTTTTGATTTACAACCTTTTAAATATATATCAAAGTGGACTTCTTAAGCTGCTATCTTATTGCTTCAGTGTTGCTGAGACTAGCAGAAGTCATTCAGTTTCCTTTTCTGGATTCTGAAATGAACTCTGAAAATGACTTAGATGAAAAAATAAAAAAGTAAGCATGTGTTTACTTCTTTCAAAGGGGAAATCTTTCCAGTGTAAATAATGTAATTACATGTCTTCCTTTTGGGTGGGTGGGAGGATAATTTGATATGATCAAGGCACCAGTTCAGACTATGGCACTGTCATTGGAATAATTTTGGACATAACCTCACTGAGACTTTGCCTCTTCAGGATCAAACAAGGGTATTATAGCAAACTTCTCCCTCAGTTCATATCATGCTGAAACAGTAGCCCCCCAGTCTTGTGACATCACCAACTCACACTAGCAATGAAGTAAAATGCATTTCACCCTATAAGGTCAGAAATATTAGTCTATATAGACCAGAAGTGTAAAGGATTTTTTGTGTTGTGTAACATTTGTGACATGCAATTTTTATCCTGTTGTTTCACAGCTTATGTGTTCTATACAGAAAGATGGCACTTTCTTCAATTAACATAATGATTAACTTGATATTCGTTTGAATGTATGTATGCCTCTGATACAGCTTCCGGTCAGTAGGCAAATTTTATTGCAATTGAATTTCACATCACCTACAGGCTCAAATCTATCAGGGGAAAAATGCATTTATCTTATTCATAAAAAAATCACTTGGAAGTTAAACTACTTAACTGAACAAACAAAACATCAAAACGGCCCTGACTTTTTACGCATACCATTTGAAAAAATGCAGCACTTTTTTGAGTGGCAAAAGTGTGTTCTTTGTTAAAATAGTCAGTGGGTACAGCAGGGAACATGACTTATGACCTTTATGCTACAGAGAAGAATTTTAAGACAGTATTCAAACAGAAAGACTGGGAAGTGCTACAAGGTCCCTGTTAATGGTCATTGATGAAAAGACCCTCACCGTACTTTAAATGCAACAAACCAGATCAAATGAATGAATATGAGTTTATATAACTTTTTAAACCAATATGACCATAATATTTCTATTCACCCGGAAAGGAGAGTCCATTGAGTTTCATTAACAGCTATCGAAGCAACACCCACTATCTAGTAAATAACCATCTGTGAACTGTCTCTTTGTCACCATCTTGGCTGTTGACTTGCAACCAAAAAACTTCTCCATTACAAACATTTTTGACGGCTTCAGAAAGGAGAAATAGGGCCATACCAGGTTTCATTTGCAGGAAAAAGAAACTAGTTGAGGTATATCAACTAAAAATGTAATTGTTCAATTTAGCTTCATTTTCTCATAAAAACAATGGCCATACTGAAACGAACATATAAAAAGTTTGTACATCTAATCTTTTTCATTATTTTCTTGATGACATTTCTTTAAAATCCTTTCAATGCTGTTAATGTCAAAGAATGTATACATGGATTGAAATTATCACTGCCATCAGACCACCAAAATGTTTCCCATGCTTAAAAATGCTGGCACATTTGGATTAGAAAATATATCCCTGAAATACAAAAATTATGTTAGTCACAGGCAAATTAACTGCTATAACCCGTGTGGATTTTTATTCACCTGCTAAATTGTATGCAGCTGTGACTCCTTTCATTCTATTAATAGTTGTCAGCTAAGATATTTTTGGCACAAGCTATTTTTCGTGTATCTTTGATGATTTATTATAG